GTAAATTTATTTAATTTAGGGAAAAGCTTATTTAAAAAGGCATGTAGGCAAAATAAGTTATATTTCTTGATATTAGCTGGTAAGAATTGTATTTGACTGTCTTGTTAGTAGGCATAGGACGATAACCATGGGTCTACCACAGTTTGGAAAGTCAAGGTTTTAAAACCACCAACATTTGCTGTTATACCGTTTCTACAGTATATACAAGTTTGTTTTTTGTGTTTGTTTTTTACGTGTTTTTTATACAGGTTTTTTTTTATGTGTTTTTTACAACTATTTTATTTAGTTGGCCAGGACAACAGTATCTCCAGCAGAAAAGGACCCTCCACATCTAAAGCTACTGTTCCAAAATATTTTAAATGTTTCTTAAAATAAAATATATTGTGTTCAATGGTAGTTTCCCTGTACTGGCTTTCAGCTAGAAAGGTATGTATATATATATATATCACACAGCGATTTTCCTTTTATTTGACAAAGAATGGATTCTTTTTTTGTCTCTAAAGTGAAATAACTGAAATAACTGAAGTCTACTTGTATAATGCAGGAAAAATCTAATCAAAAACTATGTGATATGGCATCATAAACAATCGACATTATAAGTTGTTTAATGGTGTACATTACCAAAACTCCAAAAAGTTTGTTACATTACCAAACTTGCTTACATATTCATTCATTCATTCTACTTTACATACTTACTTAATTGAGTAACAACTGCAATGATGGTGTAAGGAAAATATCTGTTATATGTATATATTTTAGGGTGATCCGATGGCTCAGTGGTTAGCACTGTCGCCTCACAGCAAGAAGGTCACAAGTTCGAGTGCCAGCTAGGCCATTAGGCATTCTGGAGTTTGCAAATTCTCCCCATGTTGACGTGGGATTCCTCCGGGTGCTCCGGTTTCCCCCACAGTCCAAACACATGCGGTATAGGTGAAATGAATAAACTAAATTGACCACACTGTATGTGTGTGAATGAGTGTGTATGGATGTTTCCCAGTACTGAGTTGCAGCTGAAAGGGCATCTGCTGTGTAAAACATGCTGGATAAGTTGGTGGTTTATTCCACTGTGGCAACCCCTGATGAATAAAGGGACTAAGACGAAGTAAAATGAATGTTTCGATTTTTGTTCTTGGAAAATATCTAAATGTATTGACTCTGACTAACTCCTTAAAACACAAATATTGTATCTCACTAAGCATTCTGTTACCTACATTCTGCTTCACTCCCTCCAAACAAACACCACACTCACAAAGGAACCCACACAGTGTGTATGTAAGGGGATATTTTCCAAACTCTCATCAATCCAGCTCATCTCCGAGCACACACAAGCCACACACACACACACACCAGCAGATGGATACATGCAAACACAATAGCACCATAAAGACATCAACAGTATTTTAAGCCCTTGTTCGCTAACACATTTCTTTTATGATTCGCAGCATGCCACTACAAAGCTATCAGCTGTCTGAGCAGCTGCATCGGCGGTTTCCAATAGAGTTACTAAAGCTTTGAGACATCTGAACACACACACACACACACACACAAAGGTATCTATTTCAACCACACATGTACAACAGCCAACCTATAAACTCCACAGCCGTAAGTAATGATTGATATTAGAGGATTAAAAATATACTGCAGCCTTGAAAGTGCGGCAATCGAAACCTTTCCTGATAATACGAGTGCAGAAAAAAAAAACGTCTGGATGGATTACAGATCTGGTTCTGTGTCACACATTCACACACTCTTCTATTTTCCTTCCACTAATCCCTCGCTTCGCACTAACACACTGTGGAAGGGCCGAATCAAACCTTGCTGACTGATAGAAGCTCGTGTTACCGCTGGATTGAACCTGAAGGTCAAGGGAAGAGAGAGAAGTGCAGAGACGTCTGTTTGAGGTTAGTTGCGTTTATGTATGTGTGCAGGGGGAGAAAAACAGCGGGCGAGTGCAAGATAGCCAGGATTTTTAAACGAAGCAATCACACTGACATCAATTAATTGTGTGTGGATAATTTACTGTCTAGGGTGCCAGAGCCGCTGGTATGGGTATTTGTTTTGACTGTAATCCATGGCCTTTAAAATGTCTCCCGTTTGAAGATCAGAGAAAGAGAACACACACTGACACACTCCTCTCACACCAACTTGAACACTGTGACAAGAAAATCTTCAAAGACACAAATACCCATTTTCGCAGAGTATTCACAAAAGCTATGTCTGTCACTTGTTCTTGTAAAACACACATAGAGGCCTGCATAAGCTCCGCTTCACAGATGGAGAGTTTCTGAGAGAAAGGTCACAACACAAAGCCAATGAGTCGTGATACATCACGTCCTTTTCAGACTTTCTGGAAGTGAATGAGATTCTAGGAAAATAAATAATTCAGTAAATAAGGGTCGACTAAGTGCAGGCTAACTGTAGGAGAAGGCATAAGCATTTTTGAACTATAACAAGCCAAACACCTTCTTTGAACTTCCGTGAATCAGCCTTTAAATAATGGAAAACATTGTGTTTGTATGCAACAGAAACTGATTGCGCAGTCTGTTGAGCTCTGTGAAGTGCTGCTGTAAATCAAGTCTCCGTTTTTATGCTGATCCAAGATACGTTTTGTAGCTTCCAAACATTTACTGTTAGAATTTAGTCATAAAAGGAAATGCTTGAGGTGATGAATGACTCTGTAAAGCAGACAGACCAAGTCAGCACCTATAGGGCTTTTTTTCTGTCTGCCAGAAAAAGCTCAGGGATTAGATGACGGTCAGAGAAGACATATCTTTTCAACAAAGAGAAGCTCAGAGGAAGTAGTCAGATTTGATTTATTAACAGCAGCAAAGCCCCCAAAAAAGACATCAGGAGATTTTTGAGTGTGGGTGAAGGGCTGGTTTTGTTGTTTAGTTCATCTACTCATATTTCATTAACAACCAGTTTATGGAAATGACAACTATTCGGTCATGGTGAGTCAATCTTTGACTCAGCATGAGTCATTTTTTAATCAAAAAGCCCTCCTTTCCTACATATCCAAAAGAAAATCCATAAGTAAATGTAGCCTACCTATTTAACATTTTAAACGCTATTTGTAAAAAAAAAAAAAAAAAAAAAAAAAAAAAAAAAAAAAAACATGATATATATTATATAAAGAAAGTTAACAGGCAAAGGAAAGTAAGCATACAACTGAAATTGTTAAAATGTCGAAATTTAGCTACAGACCACTGTAGGATTGTTGGCTTGACTCAATTAAGAGTTTTCAAGTCTTTGGAGAATTCAAATGACAGAGGTCCAAGAGTTTAGCAGCCTATACTGCCTGCCTATGTTATTTGATCTCCATTCAGCTCAGCCAAAATGAAAACATTAGGAGGCCAGACATCGATTAAATAGTCATTATATAAAGATAGAAACGTTTAAAATGTATGCGTTTAAGCTTTCTGGCTAACTTGGATGTTTCCCCCAACATCTTCTTGTGACATGAGTAAATAAAAAGGCAGAAAATGTTCCTAATTTGCATAATTCAGTAATAAATATGTTGTTATGCAAACTTCGATTTAATCTTTAATAAATTTATCAATTAATCATGCGTCAAAAAGTATTTATACGATTAGGATATGTTTCAAAGTGGAGACAAATTGGGCGGGGGGACTGTTAGAGAGCGCCCTTTTAAAACTGCCGCTCTAGGCGAAATGAAAAATTAATTAATTTCTGCGGAGAATCAATTTCTATATTAGACACTGCCGGAGAGCGAGCGAGCGAGCGCGCGGGCAGGAATCAGAGATTCTAATCTCGTTCCAGTAACCTGTGTCACAAACGCTTAACATCTCCAAGCCAGTGCCAAAGGCTGCCTAAATGCTCTCTTTAATAAGCAAGCAGCCATGAGCTGGTGTCATAAATTCGCTCTCTGTCAATGAGGTTTAGATAAGCAAACTCATATTGTTCTTTTAAACAAGGCTCACATAGCTCTCCAACGCACTCGCGCGCAAACGCATCAGTATGTTTGCCATCATTTTAAAGGTCAAACAGATGTAATTTGCGTTCTTAATATGCTATAAAGGGCCGTTGTTTTCAAAGCACGGGAACTTAGAGGGCGAACGAGTGTCAGTTTCAAAGTATATAATGATTGCTCAGTAGAGCTTTTTTATGACCTTGTCTGAACTGATAACGACTTTCAATAAGTGCTAATCAAGCCAATGTTACGAGTCACTTTAAAATCATAATTCAAAATTCAAACACGTCTGATAACACTATAATAACACCTAAAACAAACAAAAGCAGCAAGTTCAAATGACACTCGTACCTGATACCCAACCGGGACAACTGCCGATTAACCTGTGAGTTGACTTTCAGTTTAACTTGTAACAAAATAGTCTCATTAAACATTCATATAATGGACTGATACAATCTTTCACCTTCTGCCTTTTCCATATCTGTCTCCAAAAGTGTTCACGCATGATAAAGACTATAAAAGAGTTGCCTTCTGTTCTTTTCTGGATGCCTGACTGATGGTGGCACCTGTCAGTTTATCTGTGGATCTTTATTGGAGAAAACGGAATGTACTTTATCACTCGGGGATAATTGATTATTGTATAATTTAAGTTGGATCATTCGTAGTTCCTCATATTTCCTCTCCCATTAGATTGCATGTTTGGTGCTGAAACTTCGTAATAAGAGAAACTTTCAAAGGCAGAGGAAGGGAGAGAAAAGAAAACACCTGTCCTGCCCATATAGCCTACTGTATATTCAACATGATGTATTTCAAGTAAACTGATATGTGCATGATAATCAAAAGCCAAACTGTTCAAACTGAAGCATAAGCAGATAATGTGCTGTGCTCAGCAAAGAGTTTTTGAAACGTCCAAAGATATAACTGATATGGGAGCTCATTGATAGAAATACAAGTGCCAGTGACTTAAAATAAAAACTGTTTGGAGCAACTTTAAAAACTTTTACAAGTATTTTAATGACTTTCTCTGCATTCAAATGTAACGTTCGTGCACTGAGACGGTTAGGTTTACCTTGCGTTGGTGCAGTCGTTATACAGGACCTCGAAGTCTTTTCTCGATATAAGTTTGCAGCGATTGACTCCAGGCTGAATCGCGCCCAGTCCACGGAGGATGCGAACCTGCTCCACGTTGCACACCACGGGCGTTATCTCCAGACGTTTAAGTTTCGTGTACACGGTGTGCAGTCCGCCGACCAGGTGCTTGAGGAAGAGGTCAAACGCCTGCGGGAGACAGATGAGCTCGTTGCCGTTGACAGTGAAAGACGCCAGCTTTGCGCCACGGACCTCGACCATTTTACACTCGTTGTTTTGCGGAGTGTTTTCCACCGGAGATGGTGTGGAGTACACAGGTTTGTGCGGGAGACTGCCGATGGGGATGCCCGGGCTCGCGGAGGAGAGCAGTTCCGTTCTGAAGAGGCTCGGTCCGGCTGGGGTGACGGACGGTGAAGGCGAGAGGGTCGCCGGGGTCGAGGAGTTGACAACCGCGGAGATCGACATCGGAGGCGCGTGGGCCATCGGTGTCGCGGGTAGGAGCGCAGCCGGTGTGGCCATATTCAACATGGAATAAATGTCTTCAGAGTGTTCAGACAAAAGTAAAGTCTCACGGGAGAGTTAACAACAAATCACAACAAAAACAATTCCGTTTTGAGTGATGAGTAAAATCAGCCTGGCACGGGGGGAAACCGAGATATTGTCAGTGCGTCACGACATCGATCAAAGCGTGATAGTGACAGTGGGAATAAGTGAAGAGCTGCGCTGGTGCTCGGACGAGTTGAATCTGTCACATTGTGGTCCGGAGGAGGAGCCAAGAAACAAAGAGAGTTTGGAAGAGACACAGCGCGCACGTGTGTTGCTGTTTTCAGAGCAGGTACATCTGAAACAATGAACTTTGCGAGAACTCGTGCCGTATAGCCCATGTTTTTTCATCATTTACAAAGTAGCCTTTATGTTTTCTAAAGATAAACAAACAGAACAACCGACAAGCGTTTGTTTTGGCAGTTGTTTTGCGGTGCTTGTGTTAGTTATTTTGTAGCCTAACTCCTATGGCTGTCAAAGTTTATTGATAGTAGCAAAGTTGATGACAGATACATTGTATTAATTCACGCTTGAGATAAAATGACTAATAACAGCACTTCAATAGTTAATGGCGCTTTGTACATGCACATAGGCAAGTGATTAATTCGCCGCGTGAGAAATTCTGATGAAACAATATTGAAAGCAATTTAAATAAAGCTCATTTAAATGTCAATTCTCATGGTTGGGGCTTTACTATAATTGGCTATTTAATTAAAACAATTTTCACGGTCATTAATACAGCCCGAGCGTTGTAGTGCACTGACATATTTTAATTACATGGTATTAACAAAATTGATATGCCTTAGAAAGCAGGGTGAAAATTTGAATAAGAAATGATTAAAGCAATTATATATCATCCCCTTATGGATATTACAAGCATCAGCATATGACTAGTCAAAATATATGGAGAAAATAAAACAAGTCGCACTAAACATGAGCAAAGATAGTGCTGATTTTCAGATAACATATCTGTGTTTACATTGTTTGTTAAATTGTGAGGTCAAGCATGCACATGATAGAAAGGACAGGATATAAAGCTTATACTGCCATCTATTGTGAAGGATTTAGGAGTTGAACAGAATTAAACTGAAATGTCAATGACTGTTTGTTATTTTCAAATGCATAAAGTAGTCATCACGGAGCAGGGATTCTGTGGTTTGTAAGGGTTCTCAACATTTACCACTGCTAATCTCAGAATAAACACTTATGGTGTCTCTTGAGGCGTAGTGACATTAATCTCACTTATCAAAATACACTTCTCATAGAGGCATTCTGATATCCCTGCTAAAGAGGAAGTCCCTTATGTACTCAGTTTCAATAACACTCTGTGCTCTATCTTTTACAAAAAAAAATAAATAAATAAATAAATACATTATCCAGAATAAAAGACAACAGGTTCACTTTGTGTCAACTCAACCATGAACCCGCCTAAATAGTTTGATTTTCTTATATTTTGTCCTGGAGAAAGGAATACCTACATGTTCAAAAAGCTGACACATATTTCTTACATGATGGTTTTATTAAAAAATGATAGCAATGGAAAATTAATATATTATAAAAGTTGCAGCTGGAAGAGCATCTGCCACATAAACACATGCCAGAGTAAATGGTGTTTCATTCCACCAATCATCAGGGACTAAACCAAAGGAAAGGGAGCAGCGTACACTCATACACTATGGCCAATTTGGCTTATTCAATTCACCTACAGCATGTCTTTGGGCTGTGGGCAAACCCAGAGCACCTAGAGGAAACCCATGCAAACATGAGTAGAACATGCAAACTTGCAAACTCCACACAGAAATGCCAACTGACCCAGCCGAGGCTCGAACCAGAGACCTTCTTGCTGTGAGGTGATCGTGCTGCTCCCTGCAAGTCCATTACAGTTTATTTTTTTCAAAGAGGAATATTTAAAGAACACTAATTTTCCTTCAGTTTATCAGGGCAGAATAAACACTTTTTAAAGAACAAATATTGTCAAAACTAAAATTGCTACTTTTTCAATTTTCCATCAAAATAATTAGACAAAATGTTACCTGTCCAAAATGTAGCTTTTTCCGAATTTGTATGTCTGTCACACAAGTATTACGGATAACTTAATATCCATTAGGGCATGGATCTCAAACTCTATTCCTGGAGGGCCGCAGCTCTGCATAGTTTTACTCCAACCCTAATCATGCACAGTGATTCAAAAATCAAGGACTGTTTTTCAATATGCATTCTTCAGTAATCTTGCTCCCTCGTGTTCTTCTGTAACGTCATAATCAACTGCCAAAGTTCAGTTCCAAAACTCAAGACTGCAAGTACGGAGGACGTGTGAAAGTTCCCAGAAATGTTCTTGGTATCGAGGATGCGTTGATGCAGACTTTACCAATGAACTTGCTCTAAAAGTCCCAGAAGTCAGCATTTTTTATAGATTTATTGTTAAAGTTCAGAGATTAAGATAACTTATGTGATATAACCATGAAAATCCAAATAAAAGCGTAAACACATTAAGAATGCATTTACTGAAATGCGTATTAAAATGTTTTATTTGTATTGAGCAAAGTATATTTGTAAGGTTTTTGTGCATGTCATACATATTGAAAATAGAAAAAAACAATAATTGTATGAATACTGTAATGTTTTAATAATTTTCTGTTAAAAATGCGTGAAGGTCATTTGTTCAATTGTGAAGAACAATTTGTTCTTCCTGTTTTTCGAGATCAGTCTTCACAAGAACGCAGGTCCGTTCTCTGCGTTCTTGGAATTGAGAAACAGCCATAGTGTTCAAGACCACTAGAGACTATTAAGCAGGTGTGTAATGGAGGTGGCTGGAGATAAAATCTGCAGAGCTGTGGTCCTCCAGAAATTGAGTTTGAGACCACTGTTTTAGGGGGGAATGCAACTAAAGTCAAAAGATTTTACTAACAGACCTCCAATTTCAATATAAAATATAATAATGGTGCTGCATATTTTTACAATATAAATTTGAAATGTGCACTACAAAAAAACTTTGATATGTATCATTTAGAAGCTCACTTCTGCTTTAATTCAGATGTTGATTCCTATGCAATCTGTCACACCATCTAGCATCCTGTTCTGTTTTCTGCTGTTGTAATCTTGCTGGCTCTACACAGTAAACCATAGCTGTTAAATGAATGCCAACAGCCTTCTTAAATGATAATTTTATGCAATTCAGGAGGAATTAAATACTGATGTTTTCTATAGTTACTTTGAAGTAATTGGCAGTAACTTCCCGCATCCTTCAGTTCCACATTCCTTTATTCAATTCACTACAGTGATTACAGCAGTTCCTCATTGACTTCTCTATTAGAGCTGCGGCCAGAGTCCATTCCCTGACCTTCCCTTCATCGATCGGGCACATTTGTCGCTCCTCTGTTATAATGCAAAGAGAACATTTGTTATAATGTACAGCCAATGCCTTTGCACAACTGCGATCAATATATTCAACTACAGATTGTACTGTAGAAAAAGAGACAACCACTGTGTAAAATAATAAACCAGTTTAAAAATATATTATGTTCCAGCAGGAAATTACTTATAATTATATATATATATATATATATATATATATATATATATATATATATAATTATTATTATTATTATTATTTTTGTTACATTGCATGTGGACATAATTTAAAACACAAGAAATCTCAATGGACTTGGACACAATGCTCTTATTGATTCTCCTGATGCATGTTTAAGTGAAGCTAATCTCTCAATCAATACACCTGCTACATTGATATGCAATGAGATCACCATCATCATCATCATATGCTCATAAGCCCTTACGGACGTTCACTCGAGTCTCGCTTTTAAATTTACGTACCTTCAACTCGAATTCATGTTTCACTTTCTCTTATCTCCCATGTCAACCTTAACACCAATGTACGGGACACAGAATGGGAGGGAGTCAATGCCTCAATTCACACACAGCCAGCCTATTAAGACCAGCGACATCCATCAGCTAAAACTGCCACACTTTTAAATGCACTGTGCTGGGATGGTCCTTGCAAAAAGCCCTGTAATTTAATTCCCCCTGCCATGCATACACCCCGCATAGCCACGTCCCCTGATGGATTAATCATGCCATTTCCACAAAGGTCCTTCAGAAGAGAATGGAGTTTGATGCAGCCACTGACGCTTGGTGCCATAACTCAAGCTCTGCCAAAACGCCAGTGTCCTGTTTTCCTTAAGATGGATGTGGGTTTTGGGGAGCTGCTTTGAATGTGTCCTTCGTTAGATTAGAATGTATGGATTTGTTCTCGGCTTCAAGGATAAAGGAGAAAAAATCTGACTGTGTAAATTTACCACACTGCAAAAATTCTGCTTTTCACCTTCAGATGAAATATTTCAACTTCACTGGAGCAAAATACAACAACAACAAAAAAATTCAAACTATATTCTATAACAATTATTGTCCACAGATTAAATGCTGTTATTTAATCTAAAATCAATAAAATATATAATAAAATCATAAAAATTCTAACTTTCATATCAGACATTACAAGCGATAGTATTATTAACTTGTACAGCATGACTGAGTACACCGCATATTAAAAATGTATATTTTTATCCATTTCTCAGTGAATATAGGCAATGTATTTTGGTGCATTTAAACAAAACAGATTCATTAAACAGACATATTTATTAAAATAATATTTCAGTCACCAAACATATTTCAAAATTTAAAAAGAATACAATTAAATTTAAATAAATATATATGTGTGTGTGTGTGTGTGTGTGTGTGTGTGTGTGTGTGTGTGTGTGTGTGTGTGTGTGTGTGTGTGTGTGTGTGTGTGTGTATGTGTGTGTGTGCGTGTGCGTGTGTAATCTTGCTGCTTTTGATTTTTAAATTTGTATTTAATATTTTTCTATAAATTTAGGTGTGCTAGTTTAGACCGTTATCATAAGTTATTTTGTTAGATACTGACTAATCTACTGTATATAATATTGTATAGCTTTCAATTAAAAATATGAATTTAAAAGAGATTTGTGAGGGGTGTCCTTATATATGCTGAAATTATATTATTTGAAAAATATTATCTTCAAGTTAGTGTTATATGTGGTTTGAAAATAAGTGATTTTTCAGCCTCAGCTATCCTCCAAAGGGGCCATGGGATGATATAAAAGTAATTAGTACATTGTCATTAATATATTAAAATAAACTTTTAATCTAAATTAAAATCTTAAAAACTGATT